TTAATAAACGTAAGTAAAAGATACATGGAATCGCAAAGGGTTGGGGGAAGGGTTGGTCGCTGGGCAAATTGAAGTCCTGCCTAGGATACAGAGGAAGTTCAAGGCTAGCCTGGGCAATTTGTGTGAGGCCGTATTTCAACAACAAAATACACACACACACACACACACACACACACACACTGTAGGGGGGGTATCTGAAGATGTAGCCCAGTCGTGGGTGCTTGTCTGGTTCAACCCCCAGTACCACAAGAGGGAGAAAAGTCTGATTAAATACATCAACAGCATACCTACATATTCAAATAGACCAACCATAGGAAAGGATGGATGAGGGAACCACTTTTTACTTGCTTAAATTTCTTCTTACAAGAAAAAAATTGCAATATTTTGGAAATGAGGAAATCAGCCAGTAAGAGCAACTGCCTGCCAGGAACTAAGTAGGCAGTCTGCGGGAATCTCCCGCCATTATCTCCTGCAGATGCTGACCAATCGGGTCACCCTCTTAACTTTTACTGAGAGGTGGCAGATGCGGTGGACGCCCTTGGGGTCAGACCACAGCCCCACCCAGCACCCAACCTTCGGGGCCAAGAGGGTCCCGCCTCACTAGTCTCTGAGACTGTTGCTGCCCACCAGAAGGTACCAGGAGTGAGGTTGCTTGCCCCTGAGGTTCCTGGCCAGTCACTGAGTCCCTGTGGTTTCCTGGTATCCGCAAAGTCCCTAGCCCGAGGCTAGCAGACGCGCGCGATTGCGCAGCCCACCCGGGTGGAGGGCGCCCCGCCCCATCGGAGTCGCCCCGCCTTCAGCTGCAAAGACTTCTTAATACTAGAGGAGCCTCCTGGGCTGAGCTCACGCAGGACTCCAGACAACGAACTGACCCAGGACCACGGCGAGACCAGAAGGTTCCGCCGCGTGCTTTGGGAACTGCCAACAGACCCCAGACCCTCCTGCTGCCTCCGGGTCCGAGACCCGAGCCCTTACAGACTCAGGTATCAACTTTCCCACGCCCTGCGCCCCCTGGCCCCTAAAGGCTCCCCAGCCGGTGGGCGGAGAGGGTTGACTCCAGGTCAAAGCTGTTCCCCCCATTTGCCAGCTTCACCGCACTCTCCCTTCACAGCCCAGCCCGCCATGGCCCAGCTCCTGACGGTCACGGTCACCCTCGGTTGCATCAGCCTCCTCTACCTGCTACCCGGCACGCTGTCTGGCAGCCTGGGCGGAGGCCTTGCCCGACCCAGGTAAGTGCAGGGTTTGAACCGGCCCCCATCACTGACCCTGGAAGCACGTATGGCCCCCACAGTTCCTAGCTTTCCTAAGGCTCATCTCCCAGATCAAGAGCCGCGCTCCCACCTTCAGTATTGCCTGAGCAAGGAGAGAAAGAAAAGAGGACCTGTTCTTCCTTTGCCTCTTCCAACCTGGGGTAGTTTGGCACACCCCCCGCCCCCCCCCCAATTGACTGCCCTTCAAACAATGGGCGCTGGAGGAGGAGAGGCTGAAGGCATCCTCAGGCCGGCTGTCCTCACGCAGACCACCTAAGGGAAAGCCCAGGGGGTCATTCTGAATCTTGGGAGCAGGAGCCTACAGAGCCCCAGGTGCCCTGGTGACCTTTGCCCAGGGAGGTACAGTTATTCGGACACGTGACCTGAGCTACCGAGATGGCCAAGTTGTCGGGACTGTGCTCAGAAGGGTGGTGGGCTTCCCCTGGCAGTGAGCCAGGCTGGAGAGGGAGGTGGAGTTTGGGCTTCCCCTGGTCTTGGGCCAGGCTTTTAGGGAAGCTATGGGCTTCCCCTGCCAGTGTCTTCAGTGAGGAGGACAGGGGTGGGGTGCGGATGGGGTGGCTGAGGAGCTCTGATGGCTGTGCTGGGTCACTGGTTTACATGTTCCCTTTCACTCTCCAGGGAGCCCCGAGCCTGGACTCCTAGCCTCCGACAGCCCAGACACCCTTCCCTCCTGTCTATGGTTTGGAAGCCTCATCATGCTCCCCAGCCACAGGGGAGGGCCAGCCTAGCCCCTGTTATGGGTCAGCCTCTTCAGGACCATGGCACCCGACACCCTAGTCCTCACCGACATTTGGGGTCCCGAAGACCCCATATCCAGCTTCTACGGGTGGGCTGTGTACTGGGCACCTGCCAAGTGCAGAATCTCAGCCACCGCCTGTGGCAGCTTGTTCGGCAGGCTGGCCGGCGCAACTCAGCTCCTGTGAACCCCAGCAGTCCCCACAGTTATGGCTGAGATGAGTGCTGGCCATTCTAGCTCTAGTGCTGTACCTTGATCCCAGAGCTACAGCTGAGCCCCACACCCTGGCCCAGTCCCTTGGAGTATCTGCAGGGAGCAGTTCTACGGCAACTACACGAAGCAAGGCTTTGGACACCCTAGACCTAGCAGAATGTGTGGATCTGTTTGTAGATTCTGCACCACCAGGGGCCTGTGGCACCCCAGAACTGTGCACACTCAAGAAGCAGGAGTTTGGCGGAAGTGTTGGCAGTTTAGATGCCACAAAGCTTGAGCAGAGGAGTCTGCCTAAAGAACTGGAGCAAAAACTAGAGTCCTAAACACAGACCCACTTATGAGCAAGTGGGAGAAAGGCTGGAGTGGCCCATGTGGCCCCCTCCCCATCAGGAACTAAAGCCTGGCTGTGAGCCAGAGCTGTGGTTGCTCTCCTGTACAATTTGCCCTTCTGTGTGCTGGATCTGGAGTGATGATGTTTTCTTGTTTGTTTTCTTGTTTGCTTCCCTGGAGGAACAGCAAGAAGAGCTGTATTGCTGTGGTCCCTAGGGTCAGGGTTAGGAAAGAGACCTCCATGGTTCCTGTTGCCGACCCTGGAGCCCAGGCCAAAGGGGTGATGGAGATCCCACCTGGATCCCCTCATGGGCAGCTAGGGAAAGGGATCACTTCTGGGCCATTCTGGAATAAAGCACAGCAAAGACGCCCCTTCTTAACCTCAGGGCACAGCAGGGGTGAGGGCAAGGTGCAACAGCCCAAAAAGGTTTACTGAGGCCCACTTCCAAGCCAGATGTGGTGGCACACATCTGTCATGCCAACTCTTAGGAGACTGAGGCAAGAGGATGACAAATTCAAGGCCAGCCTGGGCTGTATAGCAAAACCCACCTCAAAAACCCAAACAACAAAAAACAACCCAAATTATAAAAGAAAAGAAAGACCCAACCTCAGGGAAACCATAGGCATCTAAACAAGGATGTCTCCCCACCCCATCCTGTGAGGACACCCAGCAAGACCAGGACTTAGGACAGTGGAGTCTGACAGACATATTACTTTGTCCCCAGCCAAGAGTCCAGGAAGGAGAGATCAACCAAGAGAAGAATCAGACCAAACCCAACCAGAAGCATAAGTTCAATACTTAGCCTGGTCTTCAAAGACTTGGTCTCTAAAAAAAAAAAAAAAAAAAAAAGCTGAGGGGACTATAACTATGGAATAAGTTCTTGGTACAGGATCTTTGCATATGTTATGTCACCCAAACTTCACAATTGTCCCATCGGAACACAGGGTTCTGAAAGGGTTGTTGGTTCCTTAGCAAGCAGTGATAGCACTTGCAAATTCCTGCCTGTATCACCCTCTCTGCCCTTCTGGTAGGAGCCCTTTATTCATTCTCCAGATCTACCGGCAGCCACTCAGAGGTCAGGGATGTGTGCCTGGTCACTGCAGTGTCCATTCTTAGCATCACTGGTAGTCCTGCCTCTCCTCACACTTTCTGATCCGCAGTTAGAAGTATCCTGAAAGTGTCCCCCGGGCTCCCATCCTTGTGCTTACTCTTCCAGATCAGGGAATCATAGGATCCAGGCAGTTCATCTTCCTTCCAAGCTGAGCCCTGTGAACACAGTTAAGATTGTTTCTTGCCTTGCTAGACAAGAGACTTCAGTGTACAGAGAGCCCAGACTAGGAACTGTGATCGAAGATGTTGTGCTGGAGAGCTTGGTAAAGCAGAAAGGCAGGTGCCTTGCTAGGTCTTGGTACAACAAGGGCTCCCCAAGGCCAGGAGCTGGAAGCACCAAGTCTCTGTGCTCTCTGGATGTATGAGCTATAGTAGTGAGCCCACAGCAGCTACAGGGGCATGAGCGGAGTCTACAGAGGCCCTTGATGCTAGACCCTGGATCATGTACCTGTAGACACTGAAAGGCAATGGTAAAGGTAGGTGGACAGAGAGGACACACCATGGGGTCCTGGGGGTAGAGTCAAGGAGGAAGAATACAGGGCAAGCTGAGGAAAGGCAGCTAAGTTCCCTCTTTCAGGAGCACCTTCCATCTCCCCCACCTGTTTTCACTGACATTCTGCACCCTCCTGTCCTGGACCCCCAGAATGACTGAAGATCGATCGCCAGAATCCCATGAGTGGTCTCAGTCAAGGTGCCTGAGCCTTAGAGTTTTTCTGTGCAGGGGGGAACTACTGCCCTCCTGACATCCTGTGCAGTGTCAGGAGGTTGCTGGTCATAACCCTTAGCCTTGCATCTGGTGTGATGCCAGCCCCATACTGCGCTTGGCTACACTTGACTACTTCTTGATGCCCCCATGCAGAGGTTCAGGGGCATTGCTGTTCTCCCCACCCCACCCCCAGGGCCACTTTCTAGCTGTTTTCACACATCCTGTTGACCCTCCTCAAGAACCTGTCTGGACACCAGTACCAATCCTTAATTGCTTTTGGGACCACAGCTTTAGTCTCTTCCAAGAAACCCCCACCTTCACCCTGGTCAGTGTGCACTGAGCATGTAGTACACAGGACATACTTGAGAGTCCAGTCCTGCTCTCCTAGGGCACTTTCATTGGGAAGAGAGAGGGAAACATATCTCAAAGGTAAATGAGCAAAGGCAGGTTGTAGTTTGCCTTTTAAGTAGTGAAAGGGTTACTGGCATCTCAGTGTAGTTGTGCATTAAATATAGGATCAATTCTACAGACTTCTAACCTAGAACTTTCACCCTCAGAGTGCCTACCCTTCAGCTCTTCTACCCCGCCATCTTCCCTGCTCTAAGCATGTCACTGCCCAGGCAAGGTATTTCTGTCTGCTGGGTCCCTCCTGTGTCCTTGAGATAAGAGTACCCACATGGTGGTTTGAATCCTGGTCAATGTGAGCCCCTCACCTAGGAGCCTGTCATCCTCCTTAACCAGACTTCTGACAGGCTTCCCTGAGGCCTTTCTTGACTTTGGCCCTGTTCTTGCTGGTAGAGTATTTGCCCAGCACGTACCAAGCCCTTGGTTTAATCCCCACCACCACAAAACAAAATGTCTAAATCAGCTTGTGAAGCCATTTTCGAACTCTGATGTATTATCACCTACCTTCCTACAGCAAGAATCCAGTGAAGCCATCTCAACAAGAGCCCTCCTACTCCTGATATCACAGCAACTTCCTACCCACTTACCTCTCTGCTCATTGGCAATAAATCCCCACCTCCCTACCTGTCTGATTGTGTTTTATCTCTACTATTATGACAATCTTAAATAAAGTCTTTAAGTCTTCGTTATCATTTTAACACATGGTTCTCTCTCTCTCTCTCTCTCTCTCTCTCTCTCTCTCTCTCTCTCTGTGCTGACACCAAAGCTTAGGCCTTTGTACATGCTAGTGCAAGCACTTAATCACTTATTTGCATCCTTAGCCTATAATAATTTCTTCTTCCCACCTATAATCCTTAGGTGCCCCTTGATAAGTTTCTGCTTCCTGAGATAAGATGTAGGGGATCTGTGCTTTAGGGTAGAGTTCAGGGTTGCAGTCCCATTAGAAGGAGCCAGTTACAGGCATGCCAGTTACAGAGGTGCTTAAAGCCAGGGGGAAACAGAGGTCTGGCTGAAGAGTGGCCCAGGATGCCTGAGCAATTAGTCTGTCTAGGACAGGGGAGGCTGAGATCAAAGTGAAGGAGGCTGGGTTGGAATTTGCTGCTTCTGTACTGACACATTAACTTGCTGAGGCCAGGCGAAGGGTAGATGGTCACTCATTACCAAATGTCAAGGCCAAGGGGATAGGTATTGTCCAGGACAGTTATGTAACCTGTGAGCATATATAGGGCACCCGGGCTTTCAGACTTCCACCTACCTTCCAGCTTTGCAATCTGAGCACTCTTCCCCCTCAGGATGAAGGTGGCTGTGGTGAGTATCCCACACTTGTATGGGAGTGGCTCCACCAACCCCTCAACAGGTAGCTTCTCCCTCAAGGGAAAGGGCAGCAATACCACCTCCTTCAGCTGGTTCCTGCTAGCCCTGCTCACCAAGGTCACAAAGCTCCCTCCTTCATGTTGTGGTCTACTGGGGTAGATGTCAGCAACCCCCCACCCACAGGTTCTTTGTGGGTCCAGGTCTCCTAAAATCACCTTCTACCTGCAAGGGTATCTGCTGCTGTCTCTTAACCAGTATCTTCTCACACTGGAAGCAGGTATCAACTGACATTAGCTGACTGCACAGATAAGGACCACTGGAGTGAGAACTCTGGTTTTGCCAAGGCTGGTGCATGGCTGCACTGATGTGGACATGGGATGAGGCTGTGCCTTAGGAGTCTTAGTTGCCAGCCCCGGGGGGATCTCTACTTCCTTGTGGACTTGGCACGATGGTGAAATGTGTCAAATCCCTTATCCAACCAGGGCCCAGACCCTTCCCTGGTCTATCGACCTGATGTGGACCCAGAGTTGGCCAAAAGTAAGGGCAACTTCCGAAACTACACTGTGAGTAGTCTCATTTTCCTTGTTCAGTCCCATCAGCCCTGGGGAGAGCAGCCCCTCCTGTTCCTATAGCTCTAAGGGTGCTTTTTGGGAAGACCCCTTCCACCTTATAGCTTATGGGGCCTGTCCTGGAGGAGGGGAGGCCATGGCTCCTGGTGTGCAGGGCCAGCCTGGTTGCACAGCCTGCACTGATTGTCTGGCTTGCAGTCAGGACCACTCCTGGACCGTGTCTTCACTACCTACAAGCTCATGCACACGCACCAGACAGTGGACTTCGTCAACAGGAAGGTATGAGTTTCCTGCTCCCAATGCATGCTCTGAGGGTGGAAACTACTTTACCCTTCACCCAATGTACAGCCCACTAAGCAGACAGGGAGGACCTATAAGGGTGGCCCTGCTCTGCAGTCCTCTCTTGTAGGTCCTAGATAAGGGCTTTCTCCTTCTCCTTTCCTGCCAGCATATCCAGTTTGGGGGCTTCTCCTACAAGAAAATGACAGTCATGGAGGCTGTGGACATGCTAGATGATCTGGTGGATGAATCAGACCCAGACGTAGACTTCCCCAATTCTTTCCACGCCTTCCAGACAGCAGAGGGCATCCGGAAAGCCCACCCAGACAAGGGTGCGCCTCACAGCTCTATGTGTGTGTGTGTGTGTGTGTATGTGTGTGTGTGTGTGTGTGTGTGTGTGTGTGTGTTGATATTGCTGTCCTAAAAGGGACTACAGGGGCTTGGTGTACTCCCACAGACCTCACTCCCCACTTGGGGGGTCAGACCCTGGGCTCCTCCTTACACTCAGCCTAGAGTCTGCTCAGCCCACCTTCACCTCTGCAAACTTTAGCCCATATATCCCTCTTCTGCAGACTGGTTCCACCTCGTCGGACTTCTGCATGATCTGGGGAAGGTCCTCGCTCTGTGGGGGGAACCTCAGGTGAAAGCCAAGTGTGGGGAGCAGGGCAGCCTTAGCCTGGGGCTTGGGGTACTATGAGGAGGGGCAGGCCAGTTCATTTTTCACCCATAGCTATCTGTCCTTTCCCAGTGGGCAGTTGTTGGGGACACATTCCCTGTGGGCTGTCATCCCCAGTCCTCTGTGGTGTTCTGCGACTCTACTTTCCAGGACAATCCTGACCTACGGGACCCTCGATATAGGTACCTTGAGAGAGCACCCTACCTCACCTCAATGTAGAACCACAGTTAGTCTTCCCCTCCCCACACCCCCAGTCCCTCTTATGCTTCTCTCTTAATCATTGCAGCACAGAGCTTGGCATGTACCAGGCCCACTGTGGACTCGAGAATGTCCTTATGTCCTGGGGCCATGATGGTGAGGTCAAAAATAGGCAGGGGGACAGTGTGGGGGCAGTGGTGAAAGCTGCCCCTCTGGGCACCTGACCATGACACCCACCTCTCCTACAGAGTACCTGTACCAGATGATGAAGTTCAACAAGTTCTCCCTGCCCTCAGAGGTAGGTGGAGGAGGGCCCTACTTGGAGCTTTGCCCAGTCCAGCCATTTTGGCAGATCTGAGCATGCTGGGTGTGGCCTCCACAGGCCTTCTACATGATCCGATTCCACTCCTTCTACCCCTGGCACACGGGTGGTGACTACCAGCAACTGTGCAGCCAGCAAGACCTGGACATGTTGCCCTGGGTACAAGAGTTCAAGTATGACCTCTCTCTGGAGGTGGGCAGTGAAGGTGACTGGGGGTGTGTGAAGAGGCATCTTTCCTGAGACTCACCGCCCCTTTCTCCATCTGCAGCAAGTTTGACCTCTACACCAAGTGTCCTGATCTGCCTGATGTGGACAGCCTGAGGCCCTACTACCAGGGGCTGATTGACAAGTACTGCCCTGGTGTCCTGAGCTGGTGATGCTGCCAACACCCTACCAAATATTGAACCAGTACCTAGGTTGGTCACCATTAGGCACAATGACAACCCAATCCAGTCTTGCTTGGGGTCCCATACACCTGCCTACTGTCACCACTCCTCATGGTCTCTTTTGGCAGGTATCAGTAAAGACTGAAAGAGCTTACAAGGTTGACTCTTTTCAAAAATTTCTTGATTAATTTTTATTTTATGTGTATAAGTGCTTTGTCTGCATGTATGTAAGTTGTTGTACAATGCCCACAGAAGCCAGGAGAAGGCATTGGATTCCCCTGGAACTGGAGTTACAGATAGATGGTTGTTAGCTGCCATGTGGGTGCTGGGAATGAACCTGGGTCCTCTGGAAGAGCAACCAGTGCTCTTAACCACTGAGCCATCTCGCCAACCCCAAGACTGACTTCACTGGGGCCTGGTATGTTGTAGCAGCAAGGGTGGCCCCAGCACAGGGACACCACCACTATGAACATGCTGCTTATCCTCCTGCCTCCCGTGTCAGAGTTACCCAGCTCATTCACCCCAATTCTGGAAATAGTCATCAAGTTTTGTAGACTAGGTTTTCTTCAACAAAAGTGTCGGGGGGGGCGCTGATAGCTAAAGAAACACATCTAAAGGAAACGATAAACTTGAGCTGGGCATGGTGGTGCACGCCTTTAATCCCAGCACTCGGGAGGCAAAGGCAGGCAAATCACTGTGAGTTCAAGTCCAGCCTGGTCTACTTAGTGAGTTCCAAGCCAGCTGGGTCTATAGGGAGATCTTGTTTTAAAAAGACCAAAAAAAAAAAAAAAAAAAAAAAAAAAAAAAAAAAAAAAAGAAGAAAGAAAGAAAATATTAACTCGTAAGTTGATTGCCGTAGGACTCCCCAGTGCCCTTGATGCATCTGAGGTGCACACACACTTGTCAGTGACCATCACATCTTTCCTCAGCCGCACATTCATCTCAAGAAGTCTTCTATCAAGAAAATGGCTCTCCGGCCTCAGGGAATTTCCTTCTGCAGGGTTTCTCTGATTGCTTTCCCACAGCAATGTTCTATTAACATTTTCCTCTGTGTCTTGCTAATTGGTGAGTGAATTTTGGGCTTAACCAGACTGTTCGCAGTTACCGTTGATAAGTAACCTTCATCACTTATTTGTTGGAACACTTCAGCAAAGAAACTTCCTCCCATGTGTCTTGGTGGATCTGTTTGCAAAGGAAGGACATTAAATTCTTGCTCTTAATTATTACTGTGTAAAAGAGTTTCTTCCCCAGTGTCTTTGCAAAGTGATTCATTTGTGTTTGCATTAAGAGTATATGAATTTCAGTCCTCTGGCTGCTGGGAAGATGGTGGACATCCAGACAGAGCTTGCTTACCAAAAGCAGCTCACCACCTTTCGAAAAAAGAAGAGGGTCCTTCTGGGAGAAACTGGCAAGGAGAAGCTCCCCTGGTACTACAAGAACATCGGTCTAGGCTTCAAGACCCCCAAAAAGGCCATTGAGGGCATTTACATAGACAAGAAATGTCCTTCACCTGTAACATCTCCATCCCGGGCCAGACCTTGTCTGGTATGGTGACCAAGATGAAGATGCAGAGGACTTTCATCATCTGCTAGACCTATCTCCATTATATCCAAATCAATCAGTTCAAGAAATGCCACAAGAACATGTCTGTGTACCTGTCCCTCTGTTTCAGGGATGTGCAGATAGGTGACATCATCACTGTGGGTGAGTGCAGGCCCCTGAGCAAGACTGTGCACTTCAACAAGCTTAAGGCTGCTAGCACCAAGAAGCAGTTCCAGAAGTTCTGAGCAGATGCCAGCAACTCCCCCAAACAATAAAGTTATTTTCCAACTTAAAAAAAAATTCAGGGGATTGGAGAGAGGACTCAGTGGTTAAGAACACTGGCTGTTCTTGCAGAAGACCCAGGTTCAAATACCAGCATCCACATGGCAGCTAACAACTGTCCGTAACTGCAGTTCCAGGGTGTCCAACGGCCTCTTCTGTCCTCCGGCATTGCACAACACAGGTGCACTTACCTTCATGCAGACAATACACGCATACACATAAAATAAAAATAATAAATAAAATATTTAAAAAATTCAGCACACTGACTGTGCTTCAGCTCTTTGCCCTTTTCTCTCTGGCTGGAGGTGGAAAGGGCTTCCAGGCTGGCTCCTTTGTCCTTCTGACATAATTCTGTCTCTGGTGAACATGCTATTTGGTAGGACAAGACATTAAGTTGGGCCTGGCAACATGACTAACTCTAGCACTCAGGAAGGCAGAAGGCTCATGAATTCAAATTTTGCCTGGACTAGAGAGCTAGACTTTCCCAAACAAAAACAAATCAACATGGAGTATCAGTGGTGGGGCTAGTTCAGTGGTAGTGTTTGTCTCTTATATATGAGGCCCTGGGCTCAGTCTCCAAAGCCAAGGGAAAAATTAGTGGTATTTTTCTCCCTCTCCCCCCTCTCCTTCCCTCCCTCCCTTTCTCCCTTCTGTGGTGCTGAGAACTGAACCTAGTGCCTCATACATTTTATTTATTTTTATTTTTTATTTTTATTTTATTTTTTTATGTGTATGTGTATTGCCTGCATGTATGTGAGTGTACCCGTGTTGTGCAATGCTGCAAAGGTCAGAAAAGGGTGTCGGATTCCCCTGGAACTGGAGTCGAGGACAGTTCGTAGCCACCATGTGGGTGCTGGGAATTGAACCTGGGTCCTCGCAAGAGCAGTCAGTGCTCTTAACCACTGAGCCATCTCTCCAGCCCAATTTTAGACAAGTACTCTACCACTGAGCTATATCCTCAAGCCTCAGTGGTATTTTTGTACACTAATGACAAATTGTCTGAAAAATAAAAGAGCTAGGCATGATAACTCATGCCTGTGATCTCAGCACTCTGGAGACAGAGGCAGGAAGACTGTCATACATTTGAGGCCAGCCTGGGTTACAATGTAAGACTGTCTCAAAACAAACACAAAACAGAAAACAGTTCCAGTTACAATACCTAAAAAATAGTTGAGAAGAAATTTAAGAAGTTACAAGTTTATGTATTGAAAAAATATAAAACACTGATGAAAGAAATTGAAGAAGGTACAATTAAATGGAAAGATATCCCATGCTCACAGATGAAATAACATTGTTAAAATATCCAAAGTGAGGCAGACACTGGTGAACAGCTATAATCCCAGCACTCATGAAGTGGATCAGTTTGAGAGCCGCTTAGGCTCCATGACATCCTGTCTCAAAAAACAAAACAACAACAACAAAAAAAAGGTGCAGTGGATGGAGAGCTATGAGGTAGCTCAGTAGGTAAAGGTGCTTGCTACCAAGCCTGACAACTTGAGTTCAATCCCTAGAATCTACATGGTAGAAGACAACTGACTCTTGCAGGTTGTGCTCTGACCTCCACATGTATGCCATGGTACCCATGTACCCACACACATATACACAACAGAAAGGTAAAAAAATTAAAAAATATATACAGAGACTGAAGAGATGGCTCAGTTCTGTTCTTGCAGAGGAGCTGGGTTTGGTTCCCAGTACCCTTATCAGGTGGCCCACAATTGCCTGTAACTCTAGTTCTAGGGACACCAACACCCTCTTCTGGCCTCCTCAGGTACCTTCACATACATGAAATGTGTGTGTGTGTGTGTGTGTGTGTGTGTGTGATTACAACAGACTAGGATTGTCTATACAACAAAGGAAACAATTGAATCAAAATCAACTTAAGAGATAGTTGGACCGGAGAGATGGCTCAGTGGTTCAGAGCACTGGTTGCTCTTTCAGAGGACCTAGTTCCAGGGGATCCAACACCTTCTTCTGGCCTCTTAGGGTTTTGCACAACATGGGTGAACTTACATACATGCAGACAAAATGCTCATACACATAAAATACAAATAAATAAAATTTAAAAATTGGGTTGGAGAAATGGCTCTGTGATTAAGAGTACTGGATACTCTTACAGAGGACCTGGGTTTCATTCCCAGCACCTTTCTATAACTCCAGTTCCAGGGGATCTGACACCCTCTTCTGATCTCCATGGGCATTGCACAACATAAAATAATAGATATAAAATAACAGCCAGGCGTGATGGCACCCGCCTGTAGTCCCAGCACTTGGGAGGCAGAGGCAGGCAGATCTCTGTGAGCTCAAGGCTGGCCTGGTCTACATAGTGAGTTCCAGGACAGCTGGGGCCACAGGGAGACCCTTTCTCAAAAGGACCAAAAGAAAAAAAAGATAGTCTACAGAATGTGAGAAAAACACATTTCTGATAAAGATCGCCACCCAAAATATATAAGAAAAAATCACCCCCCCCCCAAAATGAGCAAAAATAGCTGTTGATGCAGCTCAGTGGCAGAACATTTCCATAGCATGCACCAGGCCCTGGGTTTTATCCCAACATTAAAGGGGGAAAAGGTAAAGGTTTTGAGCAGAAATTTCCCTAGAGACATACAGACAGTTGGGCATGGCAGCACATGCTTGCAGTTCCAACTACTCAAGAGGCTGAGGCAAGGTGACCACTTGAGCCTATAAATTTGATAGTAGCCTTGGTGACACAGTAAGACCTGCATCACCTCTCCCAAAGAAATACAAATGACCAACAGGGCCATGAAGAAGTGTTCAGTATCACTTATTATCAGGGAAGTACAAACAAAAATTACAATGAGGCACAGGGGTGGGGGTAGCTCAGTAGTAGAGCGCTTGCTTCACATGCATGAGGCCCTCCCTCTCCAGCACCACTAACAACACAATAATAATGAAAATGTACCGGAATTTCATCTAACACTTATTAGAGTGGCTATTATAAAAAAGATGAAGGATGATGCATTGGTGAGGATGTGGAGAAAAGGGACCCTTTTCACATTAGTGGAAATATTAATTAGTAGAGTCATTATGGAAAACAGTAGATTTTGTTATGTACATATCATATATATGTATATAATAAAATTGAAATTGTCTAGGGGACCAAAGAGTTCTAACAGGAGAGGAGGGGCAAGAAAAGGGAGGGGAACTGATGGAGGTGAGCTACTTAATATTATAAAAACATTTTAAAATTTATTTATTTATTTTTGGTCTTTTTGAGACAGGGTCTCCCTGCAGCCCCACCTGGCCTGGGAACTAACTATGTAGACCAGGCTGGCCTTGAATTCACAGAGATC